GTCTGGTGTTGGCCAATCAAGCACTGCTTTCACCTTGTCAGGATCAGTTATCATGACGTGTTACTAGAGTCACGTGACTTCCGCTGTCGTAACAGTATATAAATACACATATGGTGGTTGTAATACCATTTACATTGGCAAAACTATACACCAGTTACACCTGTGAACATATGGGATTATCAAGCAGAACTATTGAAAAACTATCAAATCCTCCAGACTCCGCACATATAATGAAAGCAACAACCACCCTATCTTGGTTGAGAATTTCAAAGCCATCTCATCTGAATCATCCAGTACTGAACTTTTAATTAAAGAGAGTTTATCTATTATAACTTCCTATAATTCATTTTAAGCCAAATTAAAATAAGTTTATTGACGAATTTGAAACAGTGATTCGAGCAACAGCCCTTCATTAGGTTTACAGTGGAAAGAAAATGGCTTATCAACTAATTTTGATTTCTATATACACGCATGGGGGGTGGAATATAGAAAAATATATTATAATAATAACATAATATTACATAACACTATCAATGTTATGTTAATTAATAATTATGTTCATTTCACCTGATTCTAACGCGTTATTGTTACCAAGATTTTAAAGCCGTTAAAAGTTTACTAAGTTTATTTTCTGCCAATAAAAATTAATTTTGTGAATTAATACAATAATAATTATTATGGTGTGATCCTCTTTTTCAAGCAAATAACTTGCGAGCCATCTGCGCTAGCCGTACTTAATTTAGAAATAGTAGACTAGAGGAAAGACAGCTTCCGTCACGTCATAACGCCATCGTGACTGAAAAGTCCAATATATTTCGTGACGAAGTGCGAACCTGCAATCTTTAGATTGCAAGACAAGTGTTCTAAACACCTGGCAAAACTCAAAATACAATAATGGCGTGTAACGAAGATGAGTGACATGTACACTTACACTGGTTTGATAACCTTCAAGTTGGATTTTAGTTTTAGTTTTTACTACTCTTATTAGTTTTACTTTTAGAATTAACAGACTACTTTATATTTATAAACTTAATCATACTTGGTTTTCGTTCTATTAATGGCTTGAAAATAATATTTGTACTGCAATGTTGCACAATTACAGGTTTGTATGGATGATGGAGTCTTCCAAAAGCTTATTTATGTAATTACTATGACATTTAGTGATAATCTGCTGACGTTTAGCCTATTTCTACATGTCTGAGTGTATGGTATCAATGCATCAAAGTTCATTGTGAATTGCGAAAACCCACTGTTATCATTGACAAATAATAGTAAATAAAAACTATTACATAAGACATAAAAACCACTGGCAGCAAATTAATTTTGATAGTAAATTACAGTATTAAGTTGTAGGTTTGGAACTGAAACTTAATGTTTTTTTCTTCTCATAATTTTGCTGTAGTCTGAGTTTTTTTAAGAGTTTTAGTATTACATTTTTTAATAATAAAGTAATGTAAGAATTTATCAGTTTTAAGGGGCTCTATTTTCACTAGCAAGTTAGCTTGTGTTGTGACAGGTGGCATATACAAGTTAATTGCTTTGGTAATAAAGAAACTTAAAGGTGAAATTGGAAAAATAAACAACCTCATAATGAAAAAATATGGTGAATATATTCTTTTGTATTTGGGTCATGATCTGTATGTTTAAAAGAATTGAACCCAGTAATGGACAGCAGTAAAAAAAAAGATATAAAATTAATGTTTTAACTATGAATTATAGTTGATACTGTTATTGCCCTTAGCTACACTTTATACTACAGTGGTGTAACTACAAAAGATGGGCCCCATATGTTTATTTCTCTATAATTGTAGTTATGATTCTGGCTGATTGATACCATTAACTTAGTACAACCAACCTTTAGTTCAAATCATTTAAACTGTATTTAATAGAGGCCCCTACATTTATTTTCACATAATTGTAGTTTTTACAATTCTGGCTGATTGATATCATTAACTTAAAAAAACAGTACAACCACCTTTTAGTTCAAACATATTAAATTGTATGTTTCTCCCCTTGTCGACAAATCATAAGTTTGTACGGCTCGCTGGGCCCCCCTTTTGGCTCGAGCCCCACCCCCACTATTGTACATGTATTCTTGTGCCAATGCTATATTAGATTAATGGTTCAAATTTCACTGAGATCCTTTTTCTCAGAATAAATTACTATTAAGATAATGAGCAGAGAGAGATAAATAGGAAAACTGACAATTGTATTATGATAAAAAGGTAATCAATCAGATGTTTTCCTCAAACTACAGGTAATCTATACAGCTGGGTTTTAAAGTTCAAATTCAGATTTTTATAGATCATTGTTCAAGTTACCAGTATATTAGCATATGCATTCAAGAAAAGTTACTATTTTACACAAAATACATGTGTTCATCTCTATCGGACATTATTTTATTGTATTATAAGTGGCTTACATATTTAGTTAATGCTAACAGATGAATTATTACAGCAGAGGGTGATATATGTTTTTTATTTGTTTCCTCTTTTCCTTCGGAGTACCCTACCATAATTCACAGGAGCCGACCTTGTGCAGTGAGTATAAGATAATGTTAAAACAAGGATTTTTCTCAGTAATTAAGTACCTGAGAGCTCTATACAAGTCACTAGTTAGCCTTCACTTAGAATACTGTGTACAGTAGGGCTACTAGGGTGATTTCAGAGATTGAAGAGTTATCTTAAAAGGATAATTTAAGATATTTTATTTTCTCCATATAGAAGAATTGTAAGAGGTGATCTTACTGAAGTTTAAAAGATTATCTAAGGATGGATAGGATAAAGGCCTCTAACTTCTTTGTGCTATATTCTGAAGATTATAGGATGAGGGGAAAAAAGTTTAAGATCTGGAAAAGAAGATAGTCAGGGCTCCAGTTAAGACGGTTTTTACTGGTTTATTGAATGAGTTGCCATCTGCAGTACTGGAAGATGGCACATTTTAAAAGTTTAAGAGGGGAATCAATGCTTTTGTGAACAATAGCGAATGGATTTAAATTTTTATTTTTCTCAAGGGTGAAAGTGCAAAGACAAAGTGGTTCGTTATTGTGTATATGTTATTTTATAATTCTGTTTAAGAAGTTCAGAAGTAACAAGTTTCTTTATCATGATTAGTTTTAGTACTCTTAACCCAATATTAGTGCCTGTGAGTCATTTGTCTCTGTAATTTACTTTTATTTAAGAAATCTTTCAGTATGTTAGGGACCTAGCTATGAAGGAGGAAATGTGTGTATGTATGTATGTATGTATATATATATATATATATATATATATATACACACACACACTACTTTACTATATTCAGGGTTTGATACTATACTATAGTGAAAATATTTTAGGACATATTTTAAGAATAACAAATAAATTATAAGAAGCTTTATTTTAGATCTTGAATTACAGAGGTTTGCTAATAAGTTTACTGTGTGCTATATTAATCAATGAAGGATTTTTTTTACTGACTAAAAAAGTGGTGGAAAAAATACAACTCATTTCTGAGCTTTGTTTTTTTAAGACTCCAAAGTAACAACATTTAACTGATTAAAGAAAATTACAATGAATATTTTATCATTGAGTGTAATATTCCAGTTGAATGAAGAAGATTAGAATGGATATTCTATCATAAGCTTTTTTTTAGGTGCGGCTCATTATCAGAGTAGACCGTGCCATCCATGATTGCTTGTTGATTTTATTGTCACAACTTTGGAAAGTATCAAGATCACTTGGCTAGTGTACTGCCTGACTGATTCACCTAGTTCTGTTAATCAGGCAGATGGTGTAACAAATTATCAGGATGATATGGCTTATAAAATCTCCTTTTATTGAAAAACAAGTATTGCATAATTACCTGGACACCTTTTGATTATAAATGGAATAGGTTATCTAAAATTCTAACACTACACAAATGCATTTCTACAAAATCTTTAGTTATCAATATTTATGGATGCCTGAGCATACGTGAATAATATTTCTCTTATGTAATAACTGTATTTTTTTGTATATGCAGTGTATGTACAGGTGATTCATTTAAAAATACGCTTAAATGAGAACACTGCCATTACAGCACTGGTGTTAGGAGTGGGATTGGAGGATTGGTGTAAATCATGAAGTGTGCTGTGAGCTAAAAGGTCCACGAAGGAAACAAAATTATCAGCTACAGCATTATTATGTTGGAGTACCACTTGAAAGAGTTGCTGTTAGTGTGCTCTGTTTTCTACTACAAAGCAAGAGTGGGAATAAATACATCTTGGTTGTGATGGACTATTTCACCAAATATCCAGAAGCATATACTGGAGCTTTCTGGATTAGGGACAGAACTTTGAATCAGCCTTGTTTAAAGAAATGTGTCAAATCCTTGAAATCAAAGAGACCAGGACAACTGTCCTTCATCCCTTTTCTGATGGAATGGTGGAGAGAGTCAACCATATACTTTTAAATCCATTAGCCATTTAAATGATTGAACATAAGGGAATGTGGGATAAAAATGTTCCAGTCCTATTAGTCAGTAATGGTATTGTAATACATAAAGCTATAGGTAACACACAATCACCACTGATGTTTGGAAGAGAATTGAAAGTGCCATTGGACCTTCTGTACTCACATTCTGAGGACTGTTAGTCAGCAGTCGTACGCAGACTATGCAGTGAAAATCTAGGAACAGCATTGATGCTATACCTATCTTTACCCAAGAAAGACTTAAACCAGCTACTGATAAAATGGAAATTTGCCATGATTTTAGTACTTATAAAAGTAACTTTGATTGTGGTGACTTGGTATGGCTGGCTGTATGATCCATGTTCTGTCTAAAGTTAAGTCAATATTGGAAAGCATCTTATGCTGTGTTGTAGTCAAAGAATCTTTGACACAGCAAGAGAAAAACTCTTCTATAGTTAAATAGATATAGAGAATGACCCCATACTGTTGATGAAAGCATTGTTCACAACAGGAGAGAACTGTCTCCATAGTTAAGTAGATGTTGGAAAGAATCATCCATGCCTCAAGAGAGAACTATCTCCAGTGTTAATTGTGGTAAATGGCAATGTTGTAGCCCACATGTTTTTTTTGTTATTTTAATCCAGCTATTTTTACAAATTTGTATTGTTTTCTTATATTCTTCTGTTCATCATTATTAGAAGGTTGGCAGTTGACTGTTGAAATTCTATATCTAATGTAACCTTTGATTAATTTAGCCACAATAGGATTATGTGGCCTAGATTCTTGAAAACTGAATTGTAGCTGTAGGAAGGGATGCATCAAGCTTGGAGACAAACAATAGCAGAAATCGTGCTAAGTAGTTAGAATTAACTTGTTGAACACTGATGTACTCCTGTTGGACACTGATGTTCTCCTATTGGGAACTGATTTTACCCCTTTTGGGTAATGATGTTATTCCTGTTGGACACTGATGTTCTCCTGTTTCACACTGATTGTACTCCTGTTGGACACTGATGCTGCTCATGTTAGAAACTAATTTTACCCCTTTTGAGTAATGATGTTATTCTCAAGCTTCATATACAAAGTACTGGGTAAACACTAATACAGGGCTGAAAGTATATACACACAGAATAATCTCAAGTTTCATATATAAAGTAAACACTAATACAGGGCTGAAAGTATATATATACACACACACACTTTAATACAAGCAATGTGTCAAACAGATAAAAGACCGTTTTTCATTATTCAAATGAGTAGCAGCATAGAAACAATATAAGAATTCCTGGTTATTCTTGATCAAAAGCAGCATACAAGCAAGTTAACAATTCTTGGTTATTCTTGATCAAAATCAGCATACAAGCAAGGTAACAATTCCTGGTTATTCTTGATCAAAAGCAGCATACAAGCAAGGTAACAATTCTTGGTTATTCTTGATCAGAAGCAGCATACAAGCAAGGTAACAATTCTTGGTTATTCCTGATCAGTAGCAGCATAGAAACAATATAAGAATTCCTGATTATTCTTGATCAAAAGCAGCATATAAGCAAGGTAACAATTCCTGGTTATTCTTGATCAAAAGCAGCATACAAGCAAGCAAGGTAACAATTCTTGGTTATTCCTGAAAAGAGCAGCATGACTGATGAGATTGAGAAATGATGAGGTGAAGAGAAGCATGACTGATGAGCTTTTGCCATTTACATTACTGTTGGAAAACATAAGAACTAACTATACATGATTTATCTAGGATGACTGCTGCTTTTTCGTACTGATTTAAGTGGCTGTGATTTTTATCAGTAACTTTCTTCACTTATCACATGTTTAACCTTGTATTTTCCCAACAGTGTATTTCAGAGCTAACAAGGAAGCATTTGTTATGTCACTTATGATTCAACACTCTAATTAATTTTCTACTAAAGAGGAAATGAAAAAAAAAAATTATTGTGCTAGAAACATTTGAATAGATAGTTAGAAAACTATGTAACAAAATCCATGCTGGTACCAGTATTACTAAGTTGACACTTAATTCAAGGGCTCTGAAATTTCAAAAATACTACAGCATAGATAAACAATGGTGGGTTGTAGGCTTAGTTGTTCAGTATTTTAAGATTAATAAGAATATAGAATGTAATAATAATTATGTTCCAGGTCTACAAGTATTAAACTTGTCATTACTGGCCTAATATAATGTGAATTGTATCTTTAATAAGTGGTAAAATATTGAAAATGTGAACTTTTCTGTTAAATGGACTTTCAACCAGAAGTAAACTAATATTCTATCTTATTTATTGTCATATAGGTAAATTAAGAAAAGTGCACACTTGGAACAATGTTTGTACTAGTAATGAAGAGAAGGTTTTGGGCTCTGACATCACTAATTTTTATATTCATATGTGGCTATATTTATATATTAAAACGTTTACCAGTATGGTACAAGAATGTCGGAGATGGATGGGTGTTTAATGATAAACACCAAACAAACAAACTTCCAGGGCATTGCCAGCATCCTGATCTGGACCCATTTCATCCACAAGTGATGAAGTAAGCAGAGAATTTTAATTTAGATAATTGGCAGTTAATTAACATATGTGAGATAGATGTTTATGCTTTTATTGCACATTAATATCTGTGGTTTCTGTATAAATAATATTTAATGGTTTCACTACATGTTTCTACACAAACAAGGTGTGGTTTCCATATAAATAAGGGTGATTTATCTTATTTCTGTGTGAGTAACAGTTGGTGCATAATTTTTCATGTAATCTTTCTTCTTGTTATCATTTTTTGTTGCATTTATTTGAAAATTTATTCTTCATATTGGATAAACATCTGGAACATTTTATGTGAATTTGATAACCAAATTAAAATCTCCACAAATTGATTGTTATTGTTGGTGATCATACTTATAATTAACTTAATTTTTAAAGACACACAATGTTTAAATTTCTGTTTAATTTATCAGGTACTTGAAAGATATACCGAAACTGGAATGTAATAACGAGGAAGACTGGCTGCTTTTGTCAAGTGGAAGAATTCTTGTAAACCAGAAAATAATTGAAAAACATGGTCATTTTAACTGTAAATTAACATACCGTGTACGTATGAATGACTTTGAAAACAAAAAAGGAAAGGTTGTGAACTTTATGTCTGAAAATAGTGAAATACCTCTTGATTCAGATTTTTTTTATGTTTCATGCAAAGCGAAAGATGGAGCAAAATGGAAAAATCTGATGGCTGGAGTGTCTCGTTCTGAATCAGCTGTTAAGAGAGCGAGAACAAAAAACTCTGCAGGAGAATTTATGAGTTTAAATGTCCTGATGTTTGGGTTGGACTCGATGTCCCGCAATCATTTTATAAGAAAACTTCCAAAGACATACACTTACCTGACCAGTATTTTAAAAGGTATAGTTTTGAAGGGATACAATATTGTAGGAGACGGAACACCACAAGCATTGATCCCAATCTTGACTGGATTCACAGAACGAGAACTACCTGAAACTCGAAAACGATTTTCAGAAGCTCAGCATGTAAATGTCTATCCTTTTATTTGGAAAAGGTTTTCTGAATTTGGATATGTCACTGCTTTTGCAGAAGACACGCCAGAAACGGGTATTTTTACTTACAGACTTAAAGGATTTGATGAACAACCAACAGACCATTATATGAGATCCTTCTTTTTAGAAGCAAGTAAAGTAGCATCTCATCATAAGAAGTATTGTCTTGGCCACAAGTCTCACCATGTGGTAATGTATTCATTACTGTATTTGTTTTCCTTTTGACAATAATATTTGAGAAATTTGACAACTGGTACTGGATGATATAAAGAAATGTCTTTCATCAAACCAAATCCATTTTCCTGTATTCTTATGTGGCCTAGTACTAAAATATGTATTGATATGTATATTTATTATCTTTGTTATAAGAATTGTTTTCTTTATTAACATGGATTAACCTAAATCTTCTAAGCTGGCTGAACATGTTATTAAATATACTATGCTTATCACATGCTTAATTTGTAGTTCTGATCTATACTTGCTTTGGTGTGAAGTTAGTTTAGCTATGGAAATGAGGATCTTCACAAAAATGTATATAAACATATTTTTTACAAAACAATATCCAATATTGTAAATTGAGAAAATAGGAGATAAATATTATGGAAATCTTGTTTTTTTGTTTGAGTACAGTTTTGTTTTGATAGCTTACACTGTGACTGATTTTAATCCAGTGAATTAAATGATGCCAAGCCAGTGTATAGTCTTAATAATATAGTAGTGCGAGTCTATTTATGACTCATTGAATTAAAATACTGCAGACCAACATCTGGAAATCCATGCTAAAGATTGTAACATGTTTCAATAGGAGCTAGGTACATGAAACTGACACTGTAATAATAGAGGTGATTGAGATAGAAAACTGAAACTCTCCAACAATGATGTAAAGTATCTCGGAATATGTTCTTTACAAGGTACACAATGGTTGAATATAAATCTTGGTTAATGATTTTGATGTAAAAACTGTTATAGGTAAAATATCTTTAGGGTAAAGAGGCTGATAGAACACTAGGAGCCATGGTTTGGTTAAGAGGCTGATAGTACACTCACAGCTGTGGATTGTGGTTAAGAGGCTGACGGGGCACTCACAGCCATGGCTTGTGGCCAAGTGAAAAGAAACTCCGGAACTAGGGGCTTGAATGCAGGACCTTTCTCAAACAGTGTCAATGTTATATCCACCTGTTTGTTAGAACGTTTGCTTTCGTTAATTTCTAATCTGAGTGAAGTAACAGTTTCTTGGTAAATTGAAAATTTTAGGTTTCCTTTCTTTCTTTCTTTAGATTTTTATTATGGTCTGAAAAAATTATTTCATGATCAAATGTTATAGAGGATTAGTTGGTAATAATTTAACTCATAGTTTGCAGTTACCATAAATTTATCCTGAGTGTTTGCATAAAATTGAGTCACCATGACATTTCATATTTCAGATAATGTTGAATTGGCTGCACCAGTTTTTTGATGTCTATCCAGAGGTTCCTAAATTTGCCTTTGGTTTCCATGGAGAAATAAGTCACGATGATTTCAACCTGGTTGGAACTGCTGATGATGACATTCTTGGTTTCTTGAAAGACTTACATCATAGCAGTATTTTGAATAACACTTTGCTTATTCTGATGAGTGACCATGGTCATAGGTGAGACATTTCTTGAAGAAGTATATTATCGATCTTAAAAATAAAAAAATAATATATTTGAACCATGAAAGTTTACCATTCATAGATCTTAAACATAAACAAACAATATATTTGAACTATGAAAGTTTACCATTCAGATATCTTACACATAAACAAATAACATTTGTTTTTAAGATCTATGAATGGTAAACTTTCACAGTTAAAATATTTTATTTATCTTTAAGATCTATGAATGGTAAACTTTCATAGTTCAAATATATTGTTTGTTTATGTTTAAGATATCTGAATGGTAAACTCCAATAGTTCAAATATATTGTTTGTTTGTGTTTAAGATCTATGAATGGTAAACTTTCATAGTTCAAATATATTGTTTGTTTATGTTTAAGATCTCTGAATGGTAAACTTTCATAGTTGGACATAATACAACTATTCCATGAAACAGTAGAAAATTTTTGTGTTATGACTCAGGTAAAGGAAGTTTGGCTGAATTTAGTATATTTAGAGAAAATATGAAGGTTTTGTAGATAAAAGATGCGTACTAAGAGAGAGTGAGGCATACAGTAGTTGCTTATTATATTATCATTGCTGATAATTACAAATTTTTATGTCTTTACCTTTTTGATGAAGTCAGTTTTATTATTTCACATGTACTTATTGATATACACAACATTTTAGAAACTACTGATGTAAAAGTTAAAATATTTTATTTCTAAGTAGATAACACCCATGATCAGACTTACAGTCTCATTTACACAACATGATGTAGGACAACTATCCTGGTAAACATAACACCCATGATCAGACTTACAGTCCCACATACACAACATAATGTACTACTGTTTACAAGGATAGATGGGACTGTAGGTATGGTTATGAGCCACTGCCTTTGAAAGGAAAAATGAAAATATTTTTAAAGAAATTAAACAGTTTTTCTGATTTAGTCACAAAGGATTCAATGTTTTTTTTTATGATCTTGAGTACTTGTTGTCTTGTTTCTTGTCCTCAGCATGATTATGTTGTAATGGAATGATTTATGAAGCAAGCTACTTTACAGTTGTTAGTAAAATAGAGAATGTGATTTACCCTATCTAGTCAAGCATTCTGCTTCAAGAAACAATCACTTGACAAAACAAAAATGCAAAGATATTAATTTTAAAACCTTTTAGTAAGAATTAAATAATAAATGAAGTGTAAAATGTAAGATGATACATTATGTTATGATTTGATAATGAGGAACCCACTTTTAAGAAAATAAAAGTTATAAGACAGCTAGACTGGGTAATCAATAAACTATTATAACTGTACAATGTTTCAACAAGACTTTGTGATCCTCAGGTACGAGTATTTTACAGAGATACATGAGTATATATATGCAGTATAGAACAAAGAGATCACATAACAGGATATTGCTTCACAGTCTAACATAGGTATGTTGGTACTCCAGGGTGTTGATTTAAGGTGGGCTGTTTTCTTCAATTAAGATAGCTTCTTTTATTTTACGTTTATTGATGTTAGGTGCTTTCTTTAAATTTAGTGTTTTGAATGGATATACTGTGGTTTTTTAGTTGCAATGGTGGTAAACATGGGAGGGTATTTTATTATGTTCAGTGAATCTGGCACTAATCTAAAATCATTATTGAATAATAATTACATAGAATCACACAATTCCGACATCATCTATAAAGTAATATGGAACAAATGTCCAGAATTTTACATTGATGAAACGGGTAGAAAATTGGAAACCAGATTCACTGAACATAATGATAGATGTCTATAACTTTACGTGCTAGTACATAAAGTTATAGATATCGAGTGATTACACAGCAGACATACTGTAAAGTTAATGACATCAAGTGATCACACTGTAGACATAGAAAGAATTATGTCTCACAATTTTTGTTTTAATAAGCAGAGAAGACAATAAATTTTCTTTAACATTTTATTTCGAGTAAGTCTAACTATCCACAGGTGGATTTGGAATGACCACTGAAGAAATTAGAGCTTTAACATGATCACACTGTTGACATACAGCAAGTAAAGAAGTTAAAGACATTAAGCAATCACACTGTAGACATTCAGCATGTAAAGAAGTTATAGACATCAAGTGATCATTGTAGACATACAGCACGTAAAAAAGTTGGAGACATCAAATGATCACACTATATACATACAGCACGTAAAGAAGTTGTAGACATCAAGTGATCATAAAGCAGACATACAGCACATAAAGAAGTTATCGACACCAAGTGATCACACTGTAGACATACAGTAAAGTTATAGACATCAAGTGATCACACTGTAGACATATAACACAAAAGTTACAGACATCGAATAATCACACTGTAGACATACAGCACGTAAAGAAGTTATAGGCATCTACTGATCATACTGTAGACATAGAGCACGTAAAAAAGTTGTAGACATCAAATGATCATACTATATACATACAGCACGTAAAGAAGTTGTAGACATCAAGTGATCACACTGTAGACATACAGCACGTAATGAAATTATAAAAATCAAATGATCTCACTGCAGACATACAATAGTTATAGACATCAAGTGATCACATTGTAGACATACAGTACATAAAGTTATAGACATCAAGTGATCACACTGTAGACATATAGCATGCAAAGAAGTTATAGACATTGAGTAATCACACTGTAGACATTCAATAGTTATAGACATCAAGTGATCACACTGTAGACATACAGTACATAAAGTTATAGATATCGAGTGATTACACAGCAGACATACCATACTTATAGGTAAGTATATAATTATTTGGTGTGAACATACTGACTCTCTGTAGCCCTGTGTTACATTTAACTATAATATTTCATACTTATAGGTAAGTATATAATTATTTGGTGTGAACATACTGACTCTCTGTAGCCCTGTGTTACATTTAACTATAATATTTTATGATTTAAAAACCCTGAATACATGTTTTTGTTCATCTGTTATTATCTCACAATTTTAATACTATATGACAAATGTTACACTTGTTGAAGGTATGTAATCATTCATATATTTCTTATCTTGTGAATTGTATAATGTAATTATCATATGTTTTCTACCATATTCAATATCTGCATTTTGATCCTAAGTATTTATTTGATCAGACAGCTAATAATGTATACATCAGGCCTTTGTGGTAACATTCTATGATTTCTTTTTTCTCATTCAACTTGTTTGCTGACTTTCCTTTTGCAGATTTGCTGAAATCCGGAAATCTCAACAGGGGAAGCTTGAAGAACGTCTTCCTTTTTTCTCGCTGGTTCTCCCACCGTGGTTTTCGACAAAGTACCCCAAACTTTACCGTAACCTGCAGACCAATGTTGATCGACTGACTACACCCTTTGACATCTACTCTACACTCATGACTGTTCTCCATACCTCCGTGCCTCTTCGTGGATCGGTTGAGAAACGAAGCATAAGTTTGTTTTCTGAAGTTCCTTCTCAGGTAATTGTTGCATTTGACTTAGTCCTTGTTCTTATAATACCCTTCCATTAGCCACTGAAAGCCCGTAAATGTGATGAAAATTGACATTATTTTCTAAGTAGTTGAAGCAATCAACTGCTTGCATTAGATCTGTATTGTAATGATAACTATTGTACATAAAATCATATCTTTCATTCTAAATAAACTGACACTGTGTCATGTTATAGTTCATTCAGTGAAATTAGAAAATATCATTATATAAGTATATAAAACGATCATTTTAGTACTTTATAAGTTTCTTATTAAATAAATTTTATCTATTATTTATTTGTTTCAATACAGTGTATTTCTGGAAGAACTACAAATTTATCTTCTTTAATATTTTGATTCATTGGTGAAATTATTTTCTCAGGGTCTCAGGTGCTATTGAAATAGTTGCCAAAATAGTGTGAGTGATGGACAAAAGGGTGTGAGTGATATTACAGATCTCTTGTGACCAAAATAGTATATATTAGTTAATTTCTAACCTTTAATGGACAAAAGGGTGTAAGTGATATTACAGATCTCTAGTGGCCAAAATAGTATATATTAGTTATATTTCTGACCTTTAACCCTTTCGATACAGGTCACGGGTGAAATGTCACGTTTGTTGACTCACAGTTAAAATTTTATTGAACTATTATTTCATGAATTTATGTCAATAAGTTTGGTATCAAACTGTAGATTATAATTTAAATTTTAGTATTATACATTACTCAATTTCTTAATTTAAAAGTAAATATTGAAAAACACAGATAAACATCGATTTTTGTATGTCATGTGTTATGTTGAGTGCAGCACTGGTTCAAATTAGATGTTTGTGAAGTCAAAATACTAAGTCTATAATTTTGTAGGAATTAGAAACTCAAATTACCAATATTGACAAGCTAGAATATTAAATAAGAAAGTCTTATTTTTTCTCTTTGCTAAGATACTACTAATGTAATAAATCAAACACAGTGGCACCCCACCCACCTCTTTCCATTTTTGGAAACAAAATTCCCTTCATTCTGCTAAACTTGAGGTGAAGACAGTATGATCCTCTTTCCTACCCCCACCAGATGGCTGGAATTTGGATTGCAGTTGACTTGCTGCTGGTATGATCCTCTTTCCTACCCCCACCAGATGGCTGGAATTTGGATTGCAGTTGACTTACTGCTGGTATGATCCTCTTTCCTAGCTCTGAATGCAAAGTGATTTTCATATTAAAGTTATTTTTATATACTGAAAATATATTTCCAATAAGTACTTACCTCTCTCACATAAATAACTATTCTCATCCAATGCTGCCCTCTATATCCAAAAACTTTTTCAGCATGCTACAAGCCTTGAGTTCCCATGTACCTTATGATCAAATGGTTCAACTGAGTTTCACATGCAAATCATCATGCAACAACCCTCCACAAATAAGTGTGAAACACTCTCCTGATGAATGTGACTCCCTCTATCCAAAGAACACCCTAAAAGAGAAGATTCTCACATCAGAGGATCGTACATGGGAGAGTGCACCACTTCTGTATCAGGTATGATCTTTGTCCAGTGTGGAAAGAGGCGATGCAGATGTGGGCAGAAAATGTGAGGAGCACATCCAAAAGGGAGAGAACGAACAATGGTTGGATAGGGATCCAAACCACACAATATCAGAATCTCAATCCCATAGATTGTATGAATGTGGATGATAGTAAAGAGGATTTGCCCCTAGGTGTACAGTGGCTAGGGCACTACAGACCATACACAGAAAGTAAACTGTGTCCAAGGCCTGGCTGCTGGGAACTGACATCTACATGGGGGTAGGATGAGGATCATACTGTCGGTAAGTCAACTACAATCCAAAACTCAACTAGTGGGAACCGATATCCAGGTGGGGGTAAAAAAGAGGATCATACCAGCAGTAAGTCAACTGCAATCCAAATTCCAGCCATCTGGTGGGGGTAAGAAAGAGGATCATACCAGCAGTAAGTCAACTGCAATCCAAATTCCAGCCATCTGGTGGGGAGTCATCAATCTGACTATATATACTCATTGACAAATTTTTAGAAAAATATTTAATTAAGAAATTGATTTTTTGTGTACAAAAGACTTTTAATGTTTACTGTAAGCTTGCAAAATTTTGTGAAGACACATAAAACATTAAAAGTTATAGTATGGAAACTGCTGGTGACTTTGGGATCACATGATTATTTGAATTAATCAAACCCATAGCGAGAGGGTTATTGGACAGAAATGTGTGGTTGAATGATATTGATGAGAGACATTATTCATCATGCCACATCTTCCTAATGAAAGTATTCTTGTTTGTGGAATAGATCATATTTGTGTACGTTTTGATGTTGCAGTAAATATGCCTCGTATTGATTCATGGTCAAACCAATATGAGATAAATATAACTTATCTTCATGGAAGTTTTTTTTACATCAACAGTGATTGTATTTTATCAAATCGACTGAGAATATACATTGAACCTTTGTAGATAATGACACAGTTATGATACTGCCATTTGAAATGTTATTTGACGTTTTTGACTTGCAAATTGCATGTTTACTGAAATAATCTCCCAAAATGTGAACATGCACATTGAATTGTTTTTAATCTTAAAAATATTTTACATCATTTACTTGTTTGAAACCTATAGTAATGAGTGTCAGTAATGTTTTATTTCTGTCAGCTAATGCATATTGAGTGTCAGTAATGTTTTATTTCTGTCAGTTGATACGTATTGACAGTAATGTTTTATTTCTGTCAGCTAATACGTATTGAGTGTCAGTAATGTTTTATTTCTGTCAGCTAATACATATTGAGTGTCAGTAATGTTTTATTTCTGGAAGCGGACACATATTGTCAGTAATGTTTTATTTCTGGAAGCGGACACATATTGTCAGTA